GCGGGGCGGGAAGGGGCATGCTCAGAGGGAAGGGGAAAAGCAGACTCTCTGCTGAGCAGGGAGCCCAGCGTGGGGCTGGATCCCAGGACCCTGAGATGACCTGAGCTGAAGGCAGACGCTTAACCATCTGAGCCATCCAGGCACCCCTCCTTTTCTGAAACAGTCTCTTGAATGTAGGTAGAATGTAGGTAAATCATCAGTATAAGCACTATGCTCTATGTGTGAGTTAGAGATGAAAGCAACAAACATTTTTTTTTAAGATTTTTTATTTATTTATTTGACAGAGAGAAAGACAGCAAGAGAGGGAACACAAGCAGGAGGAGTGGGGGAGGGAGAAGCAGGCTTTCGGCTGAGCAGGGAGCCCGATGCGGGGCTCGATCATAGGACCCTGGGATCATGACCTGAGCCGAAGGCAGACACTTAACAACTGAGCCACCCAGGCACCCCAAGCAACAAACATTTCTTGATTATCTACAGGGTTACAATCCCAAATCTGAAATTCAAATACAAATTATTCTGAAAACCAATTTTTTTTTCTTGGTTGGCACTAATACTCATTGGTAGCAAAACCTGACATGAAGGGGTTTTGTTTGTTTGTTTGCAGAAGGACCCTCTGTTGTCCTATGCCTGTGTTGGCTGCCTGGAAGCCTTGCTTGACTACCTGCATGCCCGGAGCCCAGACATCGGTAGAAACCTTGTGCATTCTCTGATGCTCCCATAGGGGTGGCCAGCCCCTGCCACCTTCCTGTCCCAGACTCCCAACCTCTGTTTTTTGATTCAGACTCATTTTGTTTAATTCTTTTCATAACATGCAAGGGCATTGTGATTTCCATTATATGGATGAGGACGCTGCAGTCCAAAGATGTCAAGTAACCTGCCCAACCAAGGTCACAAAGCTCCGAAGTGGCAGAGCCCTTCCTGTTGCCTGCTTTCCACAATAGTGGGATATAGTCTCCCTGAGCCAGGCAGCATAGGTGGATAGAAGCCCAGGGAAGAAAGAAACTTCCAGTGGTCAGTTTGTCCAATACCCTGCCTCTAGCTGAGCAACCCCTTTTTGAGTCAATAAGAGAAAGTCCTCTTCAGCAGTGTTCCAGGGCCTCTGGAAAAGCAGCAGTAACAACCCAGGGTGACTGGTGTTTCCTATAGCGTTCCATGTGGTCTCCCAGCCCTGGAATCGGTTTTTGCTGTTTACCCTCCTGGATGCTGGAGAGAGTTCCTTCCTCAGACCTGAGATCTTGAGGCTCATGACCCTGGTAAGTGCAGAATGGATGGTCCTGTGGTGTGAAGAATGTCATGAGCTGGGTGGTCCTGAAGAGGCCAGGTAGAGGGGTAGAAAGTAGAGGGGATAGGTGGGCCTACTCAGAGAATTCCTCTAAATGCCAACATCTTCTCACCCCCCAAAGACCCAGATACTCTTTCTAATTCATTAGCATGTGAAACATTGGCCAGGGCTTGTCTGCTACATCCAGATCCTATGCTAGGGACCAAAGATGTCACTGAGCCAAATGCTCTGCCTTCTAAGGGTCCCTCAGTCTAAAGAAGGAGATAGACAAGGAAACTAATAGTTAAAACATGATGTTATTAGTGGCATAGTAGAAGATATGCTAAGTGCCTGGCACACAGTAAGTGCTCATTGAATAAACAACAAAGCAGTGAGCCTGTGAATGATAGTGAAGTGAATCAATGAATAAATCAGTGGTGGTTGTGGGAACACAGAGAAGAGTACAGTTGACCACTGAATAGCGTGGGGGTTAGGGTCAACTGTGCTGACCCCCGCACAGTTGGAAATCTGCACATTAACTTTTGACTCCCCAAAACCTAACTACTAATAGGCCACTGTTGACTGAAAGCCTTACTGATCACATAAACAGTTAACACATATTTTGTATGTTATGTGTACTAAACACTGTATTCTTAGAATAAAGTAAGCTGGAAAGAGAAAATGTTATTAAGAAAATCATAAAGAGAAAATACTTTTACAGTGCTGTACTATATTTATCGAAAAAAATCTGTGTATAGGTGGACCTGTGCAGTTAACTCTCGTGTTCAAAGATTGACTAATTGCTTCTGCCAGAGCCAGGAGGGAGAGGTGAATAAGGGTGCAATAAGCATTCAGTTAATGCCTCTATTTCTTTAATGAAATGAAAACGTTCAGCAGGAAGGAAACATTTCAGGTGAGGTTTGAAGCATTAATAGGCAAAGTGGAGGAAAAGTATTCCAGGTAGTGAAGCGAAGTAGCAGGTAAATGAGTACATGCGGGTGTGTTTGGATAACCACACCTAGTCCTTTTTGGCCATGAGTGTGAGGGGCAGGGCCAAGCAGTGAGGGGAAGGGTACTGAAGGGTCAGCAGGGCCAACTCTCTTAGGGTTTCACAGTCTGCCTCATTTACCCCACTCTTCTATGACACAGCCCCACCTCCGCCCACCAACTCTGAGCTCCTGACGGCAGGGTTCTCTGGGCTTCAGATCTGTGCCCCCAGCCTGGTGCCAAACACAGCAGGGGCACCGGAAATATCTGTGAAGGAAGGATATGCCAAATCACTGTGTGTTTGGGGCTTCTCTCCCTGGCCTAGTTTGTGCGGTTCCAGAGCAGCAGTGTCCTGTCTCAGGAGGAAGTGGGTCATGTTCTGCAAGGCGCAGCTTTGGCTGACCTCTCTACCCTGTCGAACACCACACTCCAGGCTCTGCGTGGCTTCTTCCTGCAGGTGGGTGGGAAGGGGATGCTGGGTAGCCGCTGTAAGGCCAGACTGTCCATGCCATCTTCTCTGTGGAGGATGCGTGCTCTGGCCACAGCAGCCGTGGGAGGTAAGGAGTGCAGAGGGTGGAGGGTTGAGAGGGCCTGTATGGAGTGGCTGCTGAGAAGGCCTGTCTTCCCTGCCTTCTCTCCTCAGGTCCAGAGCATGGGTCTCCTGGCTGATCACAGCACGGCCCAGACCCTGCAGGCCTCCTTAGAGGGCCTTTCCCTGAGCACCTCCTCCGTCCAGCCACCCCTGGACATGCTGTATCCTTTCTTGCATCTGGGAGCCTTGGCCTGGGCAAGGTCACCCAGGCTATGGGAGGCTGTGGCATCATGCTTCAGAGGGGTGACAGTGTCTACAGCTCTGTCCTTTAAAGCATTTGCATCAGTGAGAATAATAGTGGATAGTAATGACACTGACTTATTCTGTTTAAGTTCCTACCAAGGGACTTGACTTGGTAGGAACTTGTACTATGACTTGTACTATGTCTAATCCTCACAGAAGCTAGGGCTGTTAACGTAGGTATAACTTACACCAGAGAGGTTAAATGATGTGCCCAGGATCACACAGTAATAGCATCAGGATCTGACCCCCATTTGTCTGTCTCCAAAGCCACATCACCAAACTCAGGAAGAAGCCAGTCCTTCCCCAAGAGCTTTGGAGAAAATTGCCCAAACCCAGTTGATACAGGTGCTTCCCTCAGCCCAGTGGGGGGTGCTGGCTGACTGACCTGTCCCTAAGAAAGCCTGGGGCTGTGGGCAGTGGCTAGAGGCCCTCTGGGGGTGGTTGTGGGGCTCCAGAGACAATTGAGTCTGGGTGTTCAGTCTGGTGCTTCCTCCCCATCCCCACTGGCTACCTCCCTGGCTCTCCTTCCCTGGTGCCTGAAACAGTTCCCTGTTGAATACCTACCCTGGTGTTTGGGTCCCAGATTTAGAATTCAGCCCACTATTCCTAAGAGCACCTTTGGGCTCTGGAAGTGTGGTTCTCCCACGGTTGGCTCCACCTTTCTGCATTTTCCTCTCATGTTTTGCTGCCAGTTGCCTGGGAGGGGTGGCTGTATCCCTGTCCCACATCAGAGACTGACCCTCATAACTTGAAGGCCCAGAAAGAGAGAACTAAGACTTGGAGAAGAGAAAGTCAGAATTGTTGGGGAAATGGATGACAAATGTAGCATCTTACTCCACTGTTGAAATGGAGTCGGGAAATAAAATGATACACTCACATGTCTCTGTGGGCTCCAAAAACATTTCTGTCTCAACTTATCTTGGCTCCCTGGAGCTGATAACTCTGCCACTGGCATGGTGGATTGCTACAATGAGGAATGGATGGCCTCCTCAGGGACAGGGGATGGGATTTGTTCTGGTAACATGTAAGGAGCACCAGCTGGCTGCCTCAGTTGTACCCAGAAAATACCAGGCAGGCCACCCACGGGGCTGAAAGTGCAGAGAAAGGCCACGTGTGTGGTACCCGTGTGATCCAAGTGCTCTGAGGGGCACTTTACCTGCTGCCTCACCTCAGGTGAAGGTGGAGAGAGGTACAATTTCCAGGCAAGGAAGCTGAGCAGGTCAAATCCTTCTGTGCCTCACTAGCTGAGCCGAACTTCTCCCTGGCTAAAGTGGGTACCTTGTGTTTCTTTCCGTGAGCCCTCCCCAGAGCTTGTATTTGATTACCACGTGTTCTTCAAAGGTCTGCTCTCCACAACTGTGCCTGCTCCCTGTGCCCAGCTCAGCCCACTGCGCCTCTGGCTCCCTGTCCGCCTGCCGAGCCCCCTGTCCCCGCCCCCCACACACCTGGGTGCCGGTACCTGGGCAGCCCACCCTACTCCTCGGGCTTGGTTGTACGGACGCTGCACAAAACTGGTCTGAACTCCGTCCTAATGAACGGGTAGGGAGGCCCCTAACGAACTAGGTTTAGAAGCTGGTGGACTGGAGAGGCGAGCAGGGGATGCACCAACTTCGCACTGCCGATTTCTTAAAAAAAAAAAAAAACTGCTAGTCGTGACCCACCAAACTGATCCTGTCAACTACAGTTTAAAAGACACTGTCAGCTGATGAAAAGTTTCGGTCAGGGCCCCAGTCCGCAGACGCGCCCTTTGCGTCGGGCCCAGACTCCCGCAGACTTAACTTCCTCCAATCTGACAGTGACAGAGTGACAATCACGCCCCGGCACGAGGTGGGCGGGACTAGACTCCGGTTTACGGAGCTGGGGGCGGGGCGGGGCCGGAAGTGAGGTCAGCTGAGGGGCCGTCGCGGCTCGCGCTCATTGGCCGGGGGCGGTGCTTGGAGGTTCCTGCGATGCTGCTGGCGCCTAGTGTGAGGTTCCGCGCCTCTGCTGTTCGCCCCGTGGACCCTAGAGCCGGGCTGCGCACCGCCGTCCTATCCGCACGCCCCTTCCCGCACCGACCTGCCTGGTAGGTGGCGGCGGGGGTCCCGGGAGGGCGGGCTCCTGGTGGGGCTGGGGGGCAGGGACCAAGGGCCTGGTGGGGCTGGGGGGCAGGGACCAAGGGCTGCTGGGGGTAGGGGATGAGATTCGCGGCCCCGAACGCTTCTCGTTGGAAGGACTCGTTCTCTCCTCTGGGCGCCCCAAAGGCTCGGGGCAGTAGGCTGGGTCCGCGAGTCCACGTAGCCGGCTCAGCCCGCCATCGCCGTGTCACCCTTACAGAATGGGTTCAGAGTCGTGTACCCGGGCGGGGAGCGGGATTGGGAGGCAGGGTAAGTGGGAGTAACAGAAGAAGCAGGATCCGTCTCCACGCAATCTGCTTTTTCGGTTTTCCTTTCCCACTTTTCCCGCTTCGGTCATTACCGGCTGTCTGATAGCCCCTGGCTTCAAGTTCTGCCCTAGCCCGGGTCTGGTTCCCTTGAGTCTAGAGCATGATGTTGGAAGGCAGGTTGTCCTGGGTGAACTTGGACTACTCTTTCCCATTCTTGAAGCTTCAGTTGTCTCATCCTCGTAGGGTGGCACCGGGGCGGTTCTCTGAATGACCTCTGCAGGCTCTCTGTCAATCACTGAGCGTCTTTCCCCTGGAGCAGGTGTCCTGCTAGTACAGTGGCAGCTTTGAGGTAGCCTATACTCATTTAGAATCTCATTAGCCCGGGAATAGCTGAGTGTCTTTGGGCAATCACCTCACTTTTCTGTGCCTTGGTTCCCACATTGGTAAAATTGGGCAGCTGTCATCTGAGCGTGAGGCCTCCTCTGACCACTGTGTTTCAGTGTGTGTTTCACCAGCTCCCTCATCCTTCTGTGCTTGTTTTACAAGTTGATTGATTGTTTGTTTCCCCTACTAGGGACATAAGTACCATGAATGCAGTGATTTTTGTTGGTCTTAGACACTGCTGTATTCCCAGGTCTAAATCAGTGCCTTGAATGTGGTACTTAAAAAATAATTAGGGAATGGTGCTTGAATAAGAACAGGTGGTGTTTGTGGTGCCTGTGGTTCCAAAGTGAGTGAGTGGCAGGCAGCCTTCTTACCCAAGACTGTGCCTCCTCCTTTCCCGCCCCAAATCCCTTTTTCTGTCTTTTTTTTTTTTAAGATTTTATTTTTAAATAATCTCTACACCCAGTGTGGAGCTTGAACTTACAACCTCAGGATCAAGAGTTGCATGCTCCACTGACTGAGCCAACCAGGCAGGCCCCTTCTTCTGTTGTGAGGACAGAAGTCAGAGAGGGAGAGAAACTGCAGAAGTTTCACAACTCCCCTGACTGCCTGGGCTTCCTTAACCAGACACCTTCCTGGGGTCCAGGATGGGGTGTGTTGAAAGGGAATAGTAATGACCAGCCCCTTTCCCCAGGCATAATGCCTCACCCAGTTCTTTCTCCCTACAGCAAGGAGGGGACTTCCTTATTTCTGTTTTACAGGTGAAAAAACTGAGGCTCAGAGAAGCTGAGCACTTTGCCCCAGGGCCCACAGACAGAGGCAGAGCTCGGGCTCTAGCCCAGAGTTCTAGACGCTGACCCCTGTGTGCTAAGCATCCTTATGTTGCCAATATTATCTGTTTTCCTCCCTTCTACCATCCCACGGTGTTTATTGTGTGTCTGGTGGTCACAGGCCCTGGGCTGAAACTGGGGCTCCAGGGCTCCCCAAAGCTGGATTCTTGGTATTTGGAGGCCAGGCCATGTCAGGAAGTTGCTGTTTACCTGCACTCTTTATTTTATACAACCAAGCTCTGGATCTCACCTCTCTCTGGGTTGCTTTCCTAGCTCTAGGATCTTGGATATGGATCTTCTTCAGTTCTTCTTTGTCCTGCTGTTGTCTGGGACGGGAGTCACAGACACCCTGAAGACCTCCCTGGACCCGAGCCTGCAGATCTGTATCCTTTGGGGTGGAGGTGGGGTTAATAAGCTGTTTCTGAGGGGGTCTATAAACAGTCTTTCTGTACCCACAACCCCTTGGATTCGAGGGTTGGAGCAGACCCAGACTGTGAGAACAGGGGAGAAAAGGTGAGGTGCTCTAACCAAACCTTGATCAAGTCAATTCTCTTCTGATCCTTAGTTTCCCCATATGTTAAATGGAGAAGGCAAGGCATACTTCTCAGAGCCACAAGGGCTCTGAGGATTGTGCATGTGCTTTGCATCTTGTGGGTGAGACCCTGGGTGGAGAGTCAGGCCCTGGCATACTGGGCTACCTGCTCTGGGCCAGACCTTAGGGACACAAAGAAGAGTTAGGACCAGTCAATCCCTGGCTTTGAGGAACTCACAGACCTCACGCTGTACTCTGTAGTCAGCACTTTAATGAACCATGGCTGGGGAAGAGGGGCAGGGAGAAACATGGTGCTGTGGCTTTTGAACTGGGTCATGAAAGAACAGAAACTCATGGAGAAGGGGGGGGGCAGTGGCATCCCAGGTGACATGTACAGTATAAGCAGAGGAGTGGAGCTTCTGGGAATAGTGAATGGTTGCAGCAAGTAAAAGGAAGACCACGGGGAGGGGAGGGCAGGAGCCAGGTCCTGAGGGTTGTGTTCAGGTGTTGGATATAGAATCCTATGTGAAATGGACAGAGGATAGGTTGCAGGATGCCCATGCCTCTTAGTTTGTTTCTTCCCCGGAGGTGTGGGGAGAGGGGGAGTGTCTCAGCCATGGGCATCTGTGGCCCTTGCAGATACTTGCTGGTTGGGAATGGGCCCTCTGGACTGGGGCCACTGGATTGTCCAGGCAGGAGTATGGGTGCCAGCCCCTTAACTTCATGCTGCTCAGACAAGAAGATGTTTGAGGTGAAACGGCGAGAACAGCTGCTGGCCCTGAAAAACCTGGCACACCTAAACGATGTCCACCAGCAGTACAAGATTCTTGATGTCATGCTCAGGGGGCTCTTTAAGGTGCGTGTGGGTGTGGGGCAGCTCACGGCAGGCCCAGTCTTCGATCTGGGCACTGACGGATGGGTAGGAGTTCCCTAAAGGGCTGGTGTTCAATGAGGGGAACTACATGCGCAAAAGATTGGAAATAGGGTTTAAATAAATAGGACCATCTGTGAAGGGCTCTGCAAAGCCACTCAGCCCGGGTGGGGTTCCCTCAGGTGCTGGAGGACTCGCGGACAGTGCTCATTGCTGCAGATGTGCTCCCAGATGGGCCCTTCCCCCAGGACGAGAAACTGAAGGATGGTATGGTCTTCCCATCTTCCCCTTTCCTCTTCCCCACCACCTTGATCTTCTCTAGCTGCTCCTTCCCTCCTATTCTTCTTGCTCTCTTTTTCTCTGGAAGTATCCTCTTATAACACCTTCCAAGTGGTCCCCTTGGGTGTATGGATACTTAATCCATATTTCTCTGGGCATTTTCTGGGCTTCAGAGCCAGTTTCTGGGCCCCTGACATGGATATTTCCTTTGCACTGTACTGTGGTTGGGGCAAGCGAAACAGGGAGAAACCTCTACCCGTGACCCTACCTCAAGGATTCTTGCCCTTTCTACCATCCTGACCCTTGTGGTAGAGAAGGCAAGGGTTGTTCCCATTTATAGGAGAAAAAAACTGAGCTCTATTGAAGAGACTGGCCAGTGGGGGCAGTTAAGAGTGCTCTTTACTACTGTTTTGTTTTTTTTAATACTTCCTTTTTTTTTAAGATTTTATTTATTTATTTATTTGAGAGAGTGAGAATGAGAGAGAGAGAGCACATGAGAGGGGGGAGGGTCAGAGGGAGAAGCAGACCTCCCTGCTGAGCAGGGAGCCTGATGCGGGACTCGATCCCAGGACTCCAGGATCATGACCTGAGCCGAAGGCAATAGCTGAACCAACTGAGCCACCCAGGCGCCCTTTACTACTGTTTTAAAGCCCCAGCCCCCTTAAATCCTTTCTGAGACGAGGTAGGAAGAACAGATAAGTAAGATAATGTTCTGTGTGTCTGTTCATCCCCTCTTCCAAGAATTGTTCTGTGGTAATTCCCCCTCTCTCCGGTTAACTGGTTATAGTCTACTAATAAAACTTGTTAGGTTACCCTGTCTGAGAGAGGATGAAAATAGCGCTTATATATTAAGTGATGGGTACTTTACAAACACCATCTCAAATCTCCGCTCTGAGGAAGGCACTGTTGCCTCCGTTTTCCAGATAAAAGAGGGCAAGTGGTTTGCTCTTGCTAACCTGTAAACCAGGCTAACTCCTGAGTTCTTTGAGGTTCAAGATTGTTCTGAAACCCAGAGGTCCCTATTCCACTTGTCTTGGACCCAACCTGACATATCTTTGGAGGAGTCCACTTATCTCTCAGTGTGGCCTGGCCAGTGCTGGTGAGGGTTGCCTGGGCCTTATCTGCAGGTATGGCTCAAACAGGGACTTACAGTAGGGCTGGGTATGTAGTTCTATTTCATGATAGCCAAGGGGGGGGGGAACCTGCTGCTCTGATGGGCACACTAACTTAGTCTGAACTGATCTGTCAACTAGAGGAAGGACATTAGTGGGAAAATTGGTGAAATTCAGTTAAGGTCTAATGATTAGTATCGATGTTAATTCCCTTGTTTAGATAGTTGTACAATGGTTATGTAAGATGATAACATCAGGGAAAGCCAAGTGAAGGAATTTTATGATATATGATGGAAGTCTAAAGTTATTTTACTATAAATCTCAAGAAGCATTTAAAATAAAGGGGCGCCTGGGTGGCTCAGTTGGTTAAGCATTTGCCTTCGGCTCAGATCATGATCCCAGGGTCCTGGGGTTGAGTCCCACATTGGGCTCCCTGCTTAGTGGGGAGTCTGCTTCTCCTTCTCCCTCTGCCTGTCCCCCGAGCTCATGCGTGTGCCTCTCTCTTGCTCTCTCAAATAAATAAATAAGTAAAAATCTTTTTAAAAAGTAAAAATGAAATTGGAAAGATATTAAAAACAAAAACAAACCCTATTGTGTTCCCTGGTCATCCTAATAGACCTGCTCCTCCCATACACTGCAGTTGTGTTAACAATGGAGCCTGGCTCTGGATAGTTGTTTTTTTTTTTTTAAGATTTTTATTTATTTATTTGACAGAGACATAGGAGAGAGGGAACACAAGCAGGGGGAGTGGGAGAGGGAGAAGCAGGCTTCCCACCGAGCAGGAAGCCCAATGCGGGGCTCGATCCCAGGACCCCGGGATCATGACCTGAGCTGAAGGCAGACGCTTAACCGACTGAGCCACCCAGGCGCCCCTGGCTCTGGATAGTTTGAGGCCAAGTTGGGGAAGTCAGACCCAGCCAAGCTTCATGTGACACATGTGTCGTCTTGTACAAAAGAGGCATCCACCTCTCTGGTCCCCACAACAAATGAGATACAGCATGGCCTTTGGAATTAAACCTGGGTTTGCAGCCCAGATTTGCCACTCACCAGCCATCTGAGCCTCAGTTTCCCATCTGTACAATGGGAATAGTAGCTATAGCTCCCTCGAGGTGGTTTTGAGGATTCAGTGATCTGGTGGACATAAAGCCATTAACATGCACTGCACACGTGGTCAGCACCTGTGGAGAGCGGGCACAGTTCCCTTCTCTCATTAGTAGGCTTAGTGGGCTTCCGTTCTCTGAAGGGTGGTTGGGGCTGGCCAGGCGGGCAATAGAAGGGCATCTGCCCAGGCCACTCATCAGGATCCTCTCGCCAGCTTTCTCCCAAGTAGTGGAGAACACGGCCTTCTTCGGTGATGTGGTGCTGCGCTTCCCGAGGATTGTGCACCACTACTTTGACCACAATTCCAACTGGAACCTCCTCATCCGCTGGGGCATCAGCTTCTGCAACCAGTCGGGCGTGTTTGACCAGGGGCCCCACTCGCCCATCCTTGGCCTGGTAAGGACTGACTGGGGCAGAGGAGGTTCAGGAGCCCTCTGCCTGGTGGTGTATCATGAACCTTGCATCTGCCTTCAATTGGGCCTGAATGTCAGCCCTTGGTTGTGTTTTCTGTGATAAGCCTCAGGGCACCTTGAGATCCCGTCTGTGATGACCTGGGTCCCTAGGGGTCATCACCTGTTCCACATCTGCCTAAGCCTTGGGCCTGGGTCCCACCATGGAGAGAGTGGCCGTGGGTAAGGAGTCAGGAGAAGGCAGACGATGACTAACTTTTCCTCGTCCACAGATGGCCCAGGAGCTGGGGATCAGCGAGAAAGACTCTGACTTCCAGAACCCATTTAAAGTAGACCGCCCAGAGGTAAGCTGCTGGGGCCTATGGCCATGTCTACTCTGCCTCTGCTGGGTCATGGGAAGCCAGGTCATACAGAGGCTGGGGCACCGTGAATGGAGCATGAGGGCTTTCGACTTGGAGCCAGACATGCTTGGGTCTGGATGCACGTATCATCACTTGCTCCTTGGTGCCTTTGGGCAAGCCACTGCCCCTGTCTTAGCCTCAGGCTCCCTATCTTTTCATGGGGTATCGACCCCAGCTGTGGGGGGGCAGTCAGAGGCTGTGAACACACCCATCCCAATGTACACTAGGCATCCAACATCAAGTGGATGCCGAGGAGGTCAGGCCATGTTTCTCTGCCCTTGAGCCTCTGAGTGCTCAGCCAGGCTTCTGTCTCACATTCCTGCACATACTTTCATCCTAGGGGACTGAGATGGGCTCTGAGGGCTGAAGGCTGCAGGGTAGGGTGACAGATGGGGACACACACAGTGGGTCGGGGGGGATTCAGAGGTGGCAGGGCAGGGCAGCAGGGGCAGGAAAGGCTGGAGGACTGGACTTGACAAATCCCAGGTTCTCCTCTGGTATAGGGAGGAGTGTCAGGGTCCGTGAGGGGTCTAGGATTTTAGCTTGCTACTGTTTCATGGATGCTGACAGGTCAGAGACATCAGAGTTTATTACAACAAAAGCAATATCCAGACTGTTGGCCTGGTCATGTGGGTTCCCCATGTTCCCCAAGTCACCCAGGGGTGACCCAGAGGGGCCCAGGCAGATGCCGTGCATGCGGTGGGTTTGCATGAAGCTGTGAATATCACAGCCTTTATAGTGAACAGAAGCAAACCTGCTCTTTGGGGGCAGTCATCATGTCACCCTTCCAGGTTGTTCTCTGCAAGCTGTCCTGACAAATGGCCCAGACAGAGGTGACCAGGGCTTTGCTTTCTTGGTGTACCCAGTGAGAACATTCAGGGATGCTCAGGGCTGTGGTTGATTGCCTCCCCCACAGTTCACCCCTCAGCCCTCTTGGCTTAACTTAAATTTCCACATGAATGTGTTGTTCAGTCTGATTGGTCTGATAGGTAGAGGCTAGGATCAAATATGTTCAGTGTGTGTCATACTGCCATTTGGTTAAGGCTGCCATCAACAGGACTCTAAGCATGTGTCATACTGCCATTTGGTTAAGGCTGCCATCAACAGGACTCTAAGCAGCAGGATGAAGCCAGCCTGCAGTTTTGACCTCAGTCCTCCGGCATGGCGGACTCAGCCAGCCATGGTAAGTCCTGGGCCGGCCAGTAGGTCTTATACTAGATAATCAGGACGTGGTCTGAGGCCAGTCAGTTACCCATTACCGTCCATGCAAGAGTTTAGACTGACCTGCTGATCTTTGATGTCAGTGTCAATAATTACAGGGAGCAATAGATGGACCCAAAGCAGTCCTCATCCCCAGTAAAGGGACGTTTCCTTTTTTTTTTTTAGAGAGTGTGCGCGCGCACATGCATATGCTAGTGGGCGGGGGGCGGGGCAGGCGGAGAGAGAGAGAGAATCTCAGGAAGGCTCTACGCCTAGCATGGAGCCTGACATGGGACTCAGGGCTCCATCTCACACCCCTGAGACCAAGAGCTGAGCCAGAATCAGGAGTTGGTTGCTTAACTGACTGAGCCACCCAGGCACCCCAGTAAAGAGACGTTTCATGGCCCACTGTTTCCCACATGTTACTGCTTGATTGGAGTCACCATTATATTATCGGCCTGAGCCCTGAGGGCAATGTCCCTATGGAGTGGCAGCCTCAGTTGCCCTACTTGGCATAATGGAAGGTCACTTAGGCATCAGGAGAAGCAGATGCATTTGTATCTGTCAGATTAAAACGGTCGTACTGCTGCGTGTGTCTGCACAGGGTCACTTCGGGAGCTGCTTTTGATGGCATCAAGCACATTAGAGTAGTTCACTACCAACCATGTCCGTGTGAGTTTTCCTATCACAAGGTTGAGAGTGACGCACCCAACAGCTGATCAGATTGTCAGCTGCAGCTGCCACTTGGCTTGGGCAGATCCTAGGATTGTTTGCCAAGTGGCGGTGCTGGATCTAAGAGACCCAGATTAATTGTTCCCTCCCCAGATACTAAGATTATTGCTACAAAATCAGGGTGTCACATCCCAGGACCTATAATTCCACTTTTTCTCCAATCCTCCCCTACTCTCACCTGGACCTTTCTTTCATCCAGAAGGGTCAGATGTGAATGGGACGAGGGCATTTTTACACAACATTCAGAGACACATTGTATCTTCCATCTTGGGTCCCATGGGCCACTGTAGGGAGACTTGGAGGGAGCATATTCAATCAAGTGGTCATTATCCTAATGATCTCAGGTCATACCATCCCAACCAACAGGGACTCTAGGCAGTCAAGCCAGAAATAACGGAGTCCTCTGCTCTGTGCCCATCCATGGTGGCAGGTATGTTGCCACATCTAGGGCAATGATGCATTTAGGTGGCAGTGCCAGTTAACTGGGCAGTGTAGTCTTGATCAGTGTTTTGATTCTGGTTGGTCTCATCAGAGAATGGGCCTTATGATGGGCATCAAAGCATCATAGTGACCTGGACTGTTAAACTCTCAACCAGTTTGTTTCCATAGTTTGTGGCCCCAGAGAAGAATGGTTGTCTTTGATCTGCCGGTCTGTAGTCTTTTGAGCAGCAGGCCAGATGGCTAAGAGCTGATGACAGTCCGTAGAAATATAATGTGCATGGTGTTAAGAATATTATCTAGGCAAGGGTGGTGTGGCTTCTAATTCAGATCATTATCTTACTGGCCTTGATGGCAGTTAGTCTTCCAGCATTGTCACTGGGGCTGGATGGCTGCTGCCGCCAATAAACACCAGTGTCCAGGGTTCCCAAAAGCGTCCCCAGGTTTGATGAGGACTGAGTGTATAGTGCTCATGGCTGTAATTTATTACAGCGAAAGGATACAATGCAAAATCAGGAAGGGAAAAGGCTCATGGGGTGAAGTTTGAGGGAAACCAGGTGCAAGCCTCCACGAGTCTCTCCCAGTGGAGTCCCCCAGGAACATACTTCATTCCCCCAGCAATAAGATGTGACCTGTGAGAAGCTGTCTGTCAGGGAGGCTCATTAAAGACTCAGTGCCTAGAGTTTTTATTGGGAGCTGGTCACTTAAGCACCCTCTGCCCAGTGCATACCAGAATTCCAGACCCCCAGGAGAAAAGCAGGTGTTCAGCATAAACCACATTGTTTGCAAAGTTTAGGCTCAGTGAGCCACTCAGTACTTAGGGTGGTGGGAGCCCTCCCCAAATCCAAATTTCCAGACACCAGCCAAGATCCAACCTTAGAAGCAGGTCTTTCAAAGGATAGCAGTCAGTCTGGCCATGTTAACTCTTCTGGACAGCATCATTAGCTCTTAATTTAGGTGAACAATCAGTGGACCAGGCGTGAGTATTTAGGGGAACCTCTGAATCAAGGGCTCCCTTGAACCAGTGGCTTTGCTTCAGGCAGCAGAATGGGAGATGTGGGTTTCCCTCCTAGGGTTACTGTCACACCATCACATAACATCCCTCGAGGTTGCTTGCTTCCATTGCAACCCTGATAAATGGCCAGTATAAGAGCAGTCAGGGCATACCCAGCAAGAATATGCAAGGACACTTAAGGCCATGGCAGATTGCCTTTCCCGGCGAGGGGCCCCCACCGAGATGCTTTATTGCTGTGACGCTGGCTCTCCTTGCCCTGTAGGTCATGAATGCCTCTGACACAGGAGGAGGGTGAGAGCATGCACCAGAGAGAATGGGTTCTAGGATAGATTTAGTTTGATTTTGTCCTAGTGTGCTCTGCTTGGAAATAACCATAACAGCAACATCCTTGCCTTACTTCTCATTGGCTGGGGACAGTCTAAAGATTTGACTCACTGTTTGGCCTCCAGTGTGGACCTGTCCCACCAGCAGTAGTTCAGGTTTACTCAGCTCCCCGCATGCACTCTCCACAACAGGGAGTGCTCTGGGAGTCCTCTCCTACTGCTTATGTACCCATCACTAGAACGAACTTGTATCAGGCTGTATGCTGGCCACTGCCCCCATCCAGAGGGAGCTGGCCCTCCCCCTGCCCTTCATATGCTTACAGTCTGTTGGGGAAGGCAACAGGGAAACAGTCCTGATCTAGCGTGATCACTGTACCAGGGGAAGAGGGGAGTGTGAGTATGGTGAGCCGTAGAACCCCTGGCAGGGAACCTGACCCTGCCGCAGCAGGTGGGTGGTGGAGGCTCTGGGATAAGTTAGACTTGCCCGGGGCACCATCTTGGGGAAAACCTTCCAGGCAGAGGGACTAGTTGCACAAAGGCTCAGAGGCATAGCACATGCATTTATTTATCATTCAGTGAGCATCTACTAAATCCCAGCCATGAGAGAAGCAGACTAGCCCTGCTCTCCTGGGAGATAGTCAGTAAAACACATACAATATGGTAGGTGGTGAAAAACAGCAGGGGAATGTGGTGAAGGATTCGGGGATTAGGTGGAGGTGCAGTTGCTACTTCATGTGACTCAGACACAGAAGGTCTTATTGAAAAGACCTGAACAAGGTGAGGGAGCCAGCCGTGTATCTGGGGGAAGAACATTCCCAGCTGAAGGAGCAGCAAGTGCAAAGGCCTGGAATTGGAAGCATATTTGGGGGAAGGGAGGCTGGGAAAAGATAAGGTCAGAGTAGGCCAGATCACAAGAGCCTTGGGGGGGCTCTTCTCGGGGCTTTGGCATTTACTCTGAGACGCATAGAGAGCAGGGTGATGGGCTCTGACTACCCCCTTTAAAGGATCAGCCTGGCTGTTGGGTGGAGGGTAGTTTAGGGGACCAGGGTGGGAAACAGGGACACTGACGAGGAGGCTACTGTGCTTGTCCATATGGGAGTTCATGGTGGCTTAAACCAGGGTGACAACAGTGAGGATGGTGAGCTTCCGGTTGTTCAGAAGGTAGAGCCAGTAAGATTAGCTAAGGAAGCAGATGTGGCATGAGAGACTCATTAGGAAGGAGTAGAAGACTTTGGCCTGCACACACGGAAGAATGGGACTGGGCTGCCGTTTTCTAAAATGGGCACATACTGTGGGTGGGGCCAGGTTGAGGCCTGGATTGGAGATCAAAACTTTGTTTCTGGACCTGGCGAGCATCTGAATGAAGATGTCAAGGAGGCAATTGGAAATATGACTCTAGATTTGAGGTTGAAGCTGCGGCTGCAAATACGAGTCATGCCTGTGAAAGAAGGAACGCAGAGCCAGGGCACAGGTTCCGTCCCATCACCGCAGGGCAGATAGAGCACTGCCCAGAGGGCTGAGGTCTAGGATGTGCCTGCGGGTAGAGGAGGGAGGATGGGGAGGAACCAGCAAAGAAGTCCCAGAGTGACAGTCAGTGAGAGAGTAGAAACGCAGGAGAGGATCGTTTCCCAGAGACCCTGTGAGGAAAGCGTAGCAAAGAGGGAATGAGCGACTTGTAGAATCTGCTGGTTGGCTGAGGAGCATGAGGCCTAAGAACCGGCCACTGGATTTAGGAACATGGACAGTGGCCATCAGAGATCCTAGTAGAAGCTGTTTTGGTGGAGCAGTGGGGACAAAGATCGGATTTCAAGAGAATAAGAGGCAAGGAAATGGGCACAGCAAGTGCAGACTACCTTTGAAGAGCCTTCCTTTCAAGGGGAACAGACCAGTGGGAGAATAGCTGGAGGGGGAGATTTTCATCAGGTGGGAGAGACTCAGCATGTTGGTGGGGACAGCGCAGTAGGGAGGAAGAATTGATGGTGCAGGGGCGCGAGGGCTTCATCCCTGAGCAAGTAAGGCAGGGGGGAGTTGCTGGCGCCCAGGGGAAGGGTCGGCCTTGCCTCCAAGAGCAGCTTGGGCACAGAAGCAGCTGGGGTGGCGGGTGTGGAGGTGAGAGCTTGTGGAAGTTGTCTTGTGAGTGCTTCTGTCCTCTGCAGTGGTTTGTGGGGAAGGAGTGGAGCAGGGTTGGGGGCTCGAGAAGGTGTGTCTAGGAGAACGGCTGAGTGAGCGGCCAGGGAGACATCCTGGATTGCCAGGCCGCATGAAGGGCCTGCTTGAGGTTAGCATCAGGAATTTCAAGTAGGCATTAGTTAGGCCTTGTCGGGAAGGGGTCTGGGAAAAGGAAAGGCAGTGTTTTTCTTCTGACTGAGCCAGGTTTGGGCTTTCCTGGTGAGGCTGAGCCAGCTGGGGTTGGAGGGCCCAGATCTCTTGACTTGCTCTACCCCAGCCAGAGCCACAGGGTCTGGGATCCTCTGTGACCGGGGGTTGGGGGTGGGGGTGGGGGTGTGCTTCCAGCTCCCAGCTGCTCATCCCTCCCAAGAGGATCAGCGTTAACTCATAGACACAGGAGGCAGAGTGTGGTAGGGGGGGACACTGGCCGGGGAGGTGGAAGGCCTGGGGGTTAGTCCCAGTTGTACCTCCCACTTGCTGTATGACCTAAGCATATCACCTACCCTTTCTGGGCCACACTTCTCTGATTTCACCCCATCTTCCTGTCCCATAGTTCAATCTAACATGGCAGGTAGATTGCTCCACAAGGTAGAACTTCTAGTTTGTTTTTAATGTCTACCTTGATGAAACATTTGTCACATTTGCCCTAAGAACAAATAAGATGGGCATCTTTCACAGCATAGTTAACCTGAGTTTGGGGTACTGTTAACAGCATTTCATATTCTAACATGATTCATTCGTTCATTTACAAAATACATACTGCGTGCCGTCTATAAGCCAGGCAGGTCCTGTGCTAGGGAGTGATGGCACAGTGAGCAACACCTGACATGATCCTCCCGTCCTCAGAGAGTGCTCTTCAGTGGGGGCGACAGGCACGAAGCATGTGATCATGAGGGAGGGGCTAGCCCCAGCCCCAGCCAGGAATCCGGGCAGATCCCTGAGGGTGGAACTAACGTGGCTAAGGGCGCAGGGGCTGGAAAGAGCATTCTGGGCCTGGACCACAGCACCTGCGGAGGCCTGGAAGTGGGAGCAACAAGGGAATCCGAGAACCCGAAGCGGGGAGTGTGAGGGAGGAGCAAAGCGGTGGGCAATGGGGGCCTGCAGAGGCGGCATGTGGAACTTGATCCTGAAAGTAATGCAGAGTCACAGAAGGGTTTAAGCAGGAGTGTGTCATGGTCAGATTTGCATTTTTGAAAAGAACTAACTGCAGTGAGGAGAATGGCTCGAGAGGGACCCAAGTGGGTGCAGAGAGCCTTGGAAGGCCCCGAGAGTCATGGTGAGGGAGGTGGAGGTGGTGATGGGGTTAGCGATAGGAGAGATGGAGAGAAGTAGATGAATTTGAGAGAGACTTAGGAGTTACACTGGGCCAGGCCTTGGCCAAGGACTCCTGTGGAAGGAGAGAGGTGGGGGTGTGGAGCCCTGCTGTTCGCAAGGACAGGGACACTGGAAAAGGACTGGGGTTTGGGGAGATGGAGCCGTGCCAAGTCTGGGGCTTGTTTGGGACATCTGGCGGCATTTAGATACGGAGATGCAGATTTGAGCGGTAACTGACATCGGCTCCTAACAGAAGCCAGGGTTTAGATGAGCCAGTCTGCAGACAGCAGAAGCCCTGGGGATTGCAGTTGAGGAATGCCTCCACCGAAGTCCTCCTCCTCCCACCCTGGCTCGCCCTGTGCTCCTGTCTCCTCACCAGGACCACCATCCATGCACCGTGGAAGCCATGAGCCTGGGCCCTACCGTCTTCTTTTCCACCTCTTTTTCAGGTTCTGCCAGTTTGACCTCTGACCCACTGCTTCCTGTGGGTGTACTCCGTTGCCTGGGCTTATCTGCGGCTTGTTTGCAAGCCACGGGATGCCTGTGGTCTCTTGTGCTCTCTGGCTGCCCTCCCCTCCTCAGGGGTGTGGCACAGGTGGGGGGGCGGCTGTCTATGGCTGTCTTGGGCACTCAGCCCCCTCACCCTGAGAGGAGGAGCCCCATGCAGGTTCACACCCCAGCACGTGCCCCTCTGCCTGGAATGTCCTTTTCTTCCCTCACCCTGTTTGCTTGGCGAGCTCCTGGCTATCTTTCAGGACCCTCTAAGCCGCTTCCCCCAGGCTCACTGAACCATCTTGTCTGCGGGCTCCCTGAGGGCAGGGCCTGTGTCTAGGCAGTCTTCCCACCGCCACAAGCCCATAGCAGCCTAACTCAGAGCAAACTCTTCGCTGCTGGCGGACTAAACCAGACTGCTCTGTTCTTCTCTCAGTTCATTTCCAGCACCGACCCTTTCCAGAAGGCCCTGAGGGAGGAGGAGAAACGCAGGAAGAAAGAGGAGAAGCGGAAAGAGATCCGAAAGGGCCCACGGATCTCGAGATCCCAGTCGGAGTTATAGCTGGGAACAGCCCAGGGCTCAAGGGGCCAGGAGGAGACAAGTCTGGAGGAAGAGGCGGAGGCATCGACTGGTGGTGAGAGCTGGCCCCTGTGAAAGGGGAAGTGGCCTCAGCCCCCTGGAGCCGGCTCTGCGCCGAAACAGAAGTGACTGGGCCACAGAGGACTGAATTTGCTTCCAGGGTCCTCCCTGGAGAGGGCGCCAAGGGCGTCTTCAGAGGATGCCATGCTGCAGATCAAACCATGTCGAGATGCTGGGCGAGGCTGGAAGGATCCCAGGCTGGACTCTCCCTTTGGGTTAGGACTGCTGGCTAGCTGGCTGCTGCCCTTCATGAGGAGGGAGCAGAATTGGGCTCTGAGCCACTTGTGGAAGTGCCGTGCCTGCTGCTGGCCCCACTGTGGCACTGAGCTGCCCAGCACAGGTCCCAGCGCCCTGCAAAGACACAGTAAAAGCCAGCAAACCCTCTGGGCTAATGGAGGCCGGTTTGGGCCCCAGGGAGCTGTGAGCCCTTTCATGGGGCAGGGGCCTGGCAAGGCAGTGAAGCAGGGCCTTGGCTTAGGTCTCCTAGTCCTTTCTTCGCACTGTCCTTCATGAAGGAGCGTCCAAAGGTGTTCACCCAAAGACCGTAGAGCAGCATGATCTCTGTCCCATCGGATATTGGGGATAGTCCCTGAACAGGTGCAGGATGGAATCAATGTGTCATCTCTGGCAACCCCAGGAGACCCTTGGCCTGTGGGTAGGGGATAGGCTCTAGCTCTGCAGGAGGCTGTGCTTTGTAATGGCAGGGCTGCCCCAAGCTGGACTGGTCAGAGCGCTCCCCATGGCAGAGACCAGGGGCCACAGAGCAGGGAAGCTGCAAGGGAATTAGGCCCTGCATGGGCAGCTACCCTTTAATCGTGTCCCTCCCAGGCAGGGGAGGGAGGGGCTGCGGTGGGAATTCCAGTTCAGTCTCTTTGACCTTGCCAAGCTAGGTCTGTGTCTTAAAAGGGGAGAGACATCTGACCATCCCAGAACCCTGCAGCCCCCCGTACTGACAGAGTCCAAGAGAGACGGGAGTCTTGTCTCAGCCCCTCAGACTTGCTGAGTGACTCTGGCCCAGCCCTTCCCTGTGCCGTGGCTTCATTGACAAAATGAATCTGATAATGTCTGAACCCTCTGCCCAGCCCTAAACTGCTTCTCTGAGAGGCTGGGGCCTGCTTCTCAGTGACAGATGCCCTTCTCTGATGGTTCTTCTATCATCCTTTAGGTTTGCTGAGCATCCCTGTGTGCACAACCGAAGAGAGGGGCCCAATCTGAACGCATCTTCATCTCTGTCCCATCTGGCTCCTCTCTCCTCCTAGGCTCTTCCTTCTACACCTTCAGCCTCTCCATCTTGGTTGATTCCTTCCTCTCCATCCTCAAATGGGCCCAAGTTTTCCCATCTGACACCTTCATAGAAAGAAACAGAACCGCTCTGCTCTCACTCTCTCCTTCCCTTTGATGCCATTGATGTGGTTATTAGATCCTGGAACTCTGTCTTACGTCTTACTGCAGGCAGTTTTCCCACTTCCTCAGCAGGAGGTGTAACGGCCCGAGGGCACTTGTTTGTCAAGCTTCCTTGCAGCCAGGATTCAGTCCTGTGAGCCCTGTGCCATCAACCAGATGTACCAGCCTGTGCGGGAGTTGCGCTGGTAGAGGTAGTGGCTGCTGGGACCAGAGGTAGCAGTGGGGCAGGGGATGGGGGCGGTTCTAGTGACCAGACTAGACCAACACCAGGGGTGCCCAGTGGTGGCGACAGTGATGTCTTCAGTGGTGTTTTCAGCATCTTCTTGGATACCGTTCCCGTTTGCTGAGCTTCCAAGTCCAATCTGAGGCGCCCCTGGAGAGTCTGGGAGCTCCCCTATATCCTCAGAGGCAGGGGTTTTCAACAGTGGCACTATTTACATTTAGGGCCAGATAATTCTTTGTTGTGTATGTAAGGATGGCTGTCCTGTGTGTTGTAGGATATCCATAGCATTCTTAGCTTCTGCCCACCAGATGCTAGTAGCAGTCTCTAGACATTACTAGATGACCCCCAGGGGCAAAATCTCCCTGGTCCACAGCGCTTGTCCCTCCTTATCCCAGCCCCACATCTTCCTCTCCTGTCCCGTCCCTGCCCCCAGAGAAATGTTGTTGGAAGCTCTCTGAGATGACCCTTCCAGGCTTCTGAATGTTGTTGGAAGCTCTCTGAGATGACCCTTCCAGGCTTCTGAATGCTGTT